AACGTCCGGAATGTGCGCGGCAGGAAAGTGTTTCAGCGGGGACCCATTTCACCGCTTCACACCACAGGCATGCTTGAGCGGGTGAGAGTGAGAGCATAGAAAAGTTTAGAGGCGAGATTGGCTGCTGGAGAGAGTCCTGAAAGCAAAGCAACTGTACACGATGACCCAGAAGAACTCATACCAAAAAGAGCAGTGTTTCCCCTATATGCAACTAGCAGCTGCGCACCGCCGTTTACAATTCTCCTCTGCTCTCTGTATCGCGCACGGCGGAGTTTCGCCCCGATGCGCACACACACACACACACGCACGCACACAGACAAAGCGCACACTAGAGCACGGCTCGACGCATTTTCCTGACCCGACCCGAGTCCGAGACAGTTACTGCCGGGCCCCACCGAGCACGTTACCGGCGCGACACGTCTGCAGCGTGAGTCCCGTAGCAGCTCGCCCCCCTGTTAATCAATTACAGCGGCTCCACCAGTAACGGGAGCGGCGCGACAACCCCCGTCTGTCGCACGACAACTCTCTATTTTAGGCGGCTCTTCTATTTTTGTCGAGCTACGCTCCCCTACGCGACCCTCCAGCAGATAAAACCTACATGAAATAGTGTGCTAAATGAGCACAATGTGTTTTTAAATGAATAAACCATTATCAGAGGTGATATGTGATGATTTTTTTTCATGCCTTTACCCATGTTTATTCGTGACATGGTGTAAATGTCTGTGGCGGACATTTGAAAGCGAGTAGATGACAAACGGTACAGTAAACTTGTAGATAACTCAAATATATGTAATAACTTAGGTGGAAAATGCTTTAACATTTCATGCAGCCTTCATGCAGCCTACATGCAGCCTCTCGGCTCGGCAAACGGTAAACAACCCCGCTGGCTTCTCTACGTGTCGCTTCAGTACGCAGTCAGTGGAGCCCAAAGGATGGGAGCGGAGCGTGTGTTGCGTTCAGGCGTTGTCAGGTAAATAACAAATTCCGGCACTTGAATAGGCCATAGCACAACACAGCAGCATGTCAAGTTGGCCGAGCTTGAGCAAAATACCGTGAAATACCATGAAACTGATATGATTTTTTCTTAAAACCGTGATATGAAAATTTTGTCATACCACCCAGCCCTAAGTGGAGTCTTTCACCCCGACCAGGAGAGGAAGTATTTAAATAATTTACTCCCTTACTCTAGTAAAAGTAACTGATACCACCCTGTAAAAATACTCTGTAACAAGTAAAAGTCCTGCAATTCCAATGTTACTTAAGTGAAAGTATGTAAGTATTATCAGGAAAATGTATCAGAAGTAAAAGTACTGTAAAAATGCCCCCTGTTACTGTTGTAGTCTGCTGCTATATATGATCTTATTAGATGACCCTGACTCATGCATTCATGTAAAAGCAGGGTTAGTTGGTTGAGGATGAGCTCAATGAACTATTAACTAATGATTATTTTCATTATGGGATAATCTGCTGATTATTTTTTCCATTAATCGACAAATTGGTTTGGTTTGTAAGAATTCTGGAAATAGTGAGAGATAACGTCACACTTACGAAGAGCCCAATGTGACACCTTCACAGTGTTTGTTTTGTCCAACCAACAGTTCAAACCTCAACATAAGAAATATTAAATAATAAAAAGCAAAAACAGCAAAAGCCTATTCCAGCTGACATTGGGTGAGAGGCGGGGTACACCATGGACAGGTACCCAGACTATCACAGGGCTAATACATAGAGACAGACAACCATTCGCACTCACATTCACACTAATGTGCAAAATTAATGTAACCTCCATGTTTGCATGTCTGAAGGAACCCTCTTGCTTTGAGGTGACAATGCTAACCACTAGGATGACCAGGTCCCAATAAACCAAATGTGGGACAAGGAGTAGGTTTGTGAGGGACAATGTGGGACACCCGCCCCAGCGCGAAGTTTAGTCATCAGAGTCTTAATACATTCATCATAAACTATACAGAGTCTACTGTATATTAACACTGGACTGTTTTAATTATTGAAGTATTTAGCAACACAGAGACTTGTGGTCAGTTCTCCTGATTTACAGGAGAATTCATATAAATGGAGGATAAACCATGAACATAAACTACAGATCACCTGTAAAGCATTTTAATAAATCAATCTATCATAATTAAAACAACTGGAGACTAAAAATAAACTGATATATGAGTCTGATTATATTTTAATAAATCATCATCATATCTGACAGGATGTGAGTGTTTCTGTGACTTCCTGTACTGACTGAAGGCTGCTGGAAACTGTCGGGAAACTGTTTGACTTCACCACAGCTTTTTGTCTCTAACGAGCCGGCGCGAGTGTCATTAGCTAACGAGTGTCACCTGTTGCTATCAAGGAGGTTGAAATAGTTGCTATATGGGGCGAGAGGGGCGGGGCCTAGCGCTTAAACGCACAGAGCCCACATGGACCGGCCGCTGTATGCAGCTTCTTCTCATTGGCCGCGGGGGGAATGCAAGCACGGGTGACAACCAATCATGCAGGACATGGTCTCAATTTGGGTGACACGTGAAAAGAGACAGAAATGCTGTGCAGTCCCATGGAATGCGGGACATCTGGTCACCCTACTAACCACTGTACCACCATGCCACTGTACGTCTTGAGTGAAAAATCTAATTTGTAAAGTAACTGGAAACTAAATCTGTCAGATAAATGTCGTGTAGTAGGGGTGGACAGTGGCCTAAGAAGAACAGACTCAGATTTGTACTTCCAGCACCTGAGTAGATGTATTTAGTTACATTCCACCACTGGGTAAAGTTTCTATTATATTATCTTGATGAGTTTGTGAGTATGACTTGACTGTGACTTGCTTGACCTGACCACTGACTTGACTCGGCTTGCTTGATTTTCACCACAGTGACTTGGGACTTGCTTGAGACTTGAAGGTTATAACATGAGACTTGCTTATAACTTGTACATGTGTACACCTCTGGACTGGGGGAATCAAAGTCGAGCACACTTTACAATAAATTCTTTCAGAAATAACACCTTAAACATTCAAATTCACCAAGTGAACTAAAATGAATCCTGATTCTGTCTTTGAGCTCCATTTTTTGGACCATCCTTTTGTTTCTTTCTTCCTCCTTTATGCTCTCCTCTGTCTGTCTGATTATCTGATTATAGGCATAGATTTCAGAGGGGACACAGGGTACACCCTTTTATGTATTTCTTTCTTTCTTTCTTTTATTTATAGTTTTGAATTGACATGTCAACACGTCCCATCTTGATATTTACATGATTACACCCCATAAAAAAAGTAGAAGACAAAATTGTCTGGGGTAGGACCCCCAATCCCCTGCTTCAAGTGTCTGTTGAAACAAAACTTAACACCCTTGTGTCTAACCGACTGTGTGTCTTTATTTCTCCCCAATCTTTGTCTCTCCCCCTGCTAATCAGTATATGCTGTAACTCAACATCTCATCATATCTGTTTTTGACTTGCTCACAACTATTTTGATCTCTCTGTTAGACAGTTTTGTTCTCACCATTCTATCAAAGTTACTGTCTGTCTTTTTTTCTTCTTTCTGTTTGTATTTCTGTCTTTTTTTGCACATTCAAGGGCATAATAGAATACAGTGAAACATCCAATACTCAGGGGCTTTAATTATCTTGAATCACCCTGTGAGGACAACTGTGATACAATTGCAGTCTCTTTATTGTTCACTTCTAATCAGCTTGTTTTCAGAAACAATAAGGTTGACCCCATTTCCCCTGAGTACATGAAGTCCTTTGAGCCTGAAATCTTGTTAAAGCTAACTTACAAGGAAAGGAATTAACTGTATCATAATACTGAGCATTCTGTCTTAGGGCAACACTGTCCTTCCTCTTTTGAGCGTCACACAGGGACATATTAGGTGAATAAGGAAACATATATGTCCTCAGGCAACAAAACATAGAGCATGTAAAATTCTCTTTGCTACACTCTCTGCTGCTTTGTTTTGTAGCCTGCAGGGTTTGTCCTGATAATGATACGCACAACAAGCTAATGACTCATTGATTTCACTGTATTAAACATGTGTAACCCCACAGAGGGGTATTTAACACAAGTGTAAGAAAAGTCGTGAAAAAAAGGACAGAAAGTTCATAAAAGTAGTTACACATTTTGTAAAAAAATATACAAATCATGGATGGTGATGTTACCATGCAGATAATACTGTAACTACTTAAAAGTTAAACTGTATGTCAGATAATATAATAACCTTACATTAAATGTGCTTTTTAAACAATAAAACAGTGCTTCTAATGCATGGCTTTTGGTTTATTACTGTTAAAAATGTTTTTAAGGTTTTAATAGTCTCTTCTCACTCTGTAGTTTGTTGTGTTTCAAATTGGTTTGTGTGTACGCGCATGTGTGTGAGTGGACCCCACAAATGCTCAAAAAATATGTGGACCCCTCAAGGGAGGAAAACACGTATGTGTGTGTGTGTGTGTTTGAAAGGTATGTAACTAGTTTAGCAGCCTCTTGTGACATGGGTCCTCTGCCTGCCTCTTCATATCACTGAAGGATGAGTTCAGGGCCTATTCAGGCATGACACTGTGACATGACACACCTCATGTCCTTCTCCATTATGGTCAAGTGCTCATCCCAGTGTTTTGTTATTGCTGTTACTAACAAAACAGGGGGCTCTTTTCCATTGATGGAAGGCCCAGTGGAAATGAGGTTAATTTGACATTTGTGAAATGAGGCAGGTAGCATATATAGGCTACGAGGCAGCATCTCCCACTTGATGCACAAGACTGGAAATCTTCTCTGTGCAGCATTAATGCAATACAGCAAGCTAGGTTGATGTTATTTTTTAACAAGTATGTTTGAGTTAACAATGGTTTTCTGATTTTGCCAGAAATTTCTAAATTTGTGTAGACACTGTGTCATCTGAATGGGGTTGCTTTTTAATAACCACTGACAAATTATTTGGTGCTTTGTTAGCTTACAGGGTGCTTATTTGGCTCACTATTCACTGTTTATATCAATTATCCAAATATATATTACTTGAACTGGAATAAACATGCATTGGCTGTCAAGGGTGACTTAGCTTTAAGAGAGGATGAGTCATTTTTGGATGAGATCCGTAGAGCCCAGTCTTTCAAGGAGAAGGACCAGGGTTGTGTTTTTGAGTCTCCTATGGTGTATGATTTTTCCCTACAACTCCCACCAAGACCACAACCAGCAATGCCAAATAATACCAGGGTCCATGTCCCTTCCTGTGCTGGAGAAAAAGGGGGACATCATCTTCGGGGGACTCTTCTCCCTTCATGACATGGTGGTGGAGCCCAGTCTGTCCTTTTTTTCTAAGCCTCTTCCAGCACAGTGCACCAGGTAAGCTGTCTTAAGCTGATCCTTAAATTGCTGTGGCCACAAACTTTTGATTAAGCAACTGTTATCTCTGCTACCATGGCTGCATTTGACACATTTTTTTCAACAGGGCTTTACATTCATAACTGTGTTGAACATTAAAATTTCTTCAAGCTTTGCCTCAAGACATCTCTCTTTTTCCAGATTTAACTTTCGGACTTTCCGTTGGATGCAAACTATGATCTTTGCCATTGAGGAGATCAACGGAGATGGCAAGCTCCTTCCCAACATCACACTGGGCTATAAGATCTATGATTCATGCAGTACACCCCATCAGGCTCTGAAGGCTGCCATGGAGTTAGTGGGGAGTGACAAGGATTCAGAAATTGAAGAAGAAACACAAAGTAAAGGCACCTGTCGTGGGACCGTACCAGCAGTGATAGGAGATGGAGGCTCTACTCAGTCTCTTGTTGTGGCCCGTTTCCTGGGAGTCTTCCATGTGCCACAGGTAAGTCAGTCATAGCTGCTCAACAACTGTATACCAGTACTGTGTGAGAGACAGCAGTGTACTTTGCTTTTTGCCACCATGTTTTTCTGTTGTTACTACTACTGGAGAGGGTCAGCAGTTAGCAGTCTCAAATTCATAATTGTAATTCATGACTTTAATCTTTTGGCAACTGTGAGTTAAGTCCAGCCAACTGATTTCATGGTGTTTTAATGTTGGACATTGTAAAATTAAATTATCATGGATGTTTTCTTCCATCCAGATTAGTTATTTCTCCAGCTGTGCCTGTCTCAGTGACAAAAATGAGTTTCCTGCCTTTTTAAGGACCATGCCCAGTGACTTTTTCCAGGTTAGAGGCAGCAGACACTCCTGATGTGGCATTACTTCCAGACACAAACAGAAACATGTCTACATTTTCACTTCAGAAGCAATAGAAACTCTCTCATTGTCTCGCTCTTCCTCTTTCTTTCTCTAGGTAGATGCGCTAGTACAACTTGTCAAGCATTTTGGCTGGACTTGGGTGGGTGTGATAGCAGGAGATGATGCCTATGGCCGTGGTGGGGCAAACATCTTTGTCAACGAGGTGGGTAACACACAAAGATAAACAATTTAATTATAATAAAATGACATTTTGTAACTCTCAGTGTGTAACTTATTGAACATATATAAGTTATCATGTATCCCCCTGTTGCTCTCTTAGGTTAGAAAACTGGGTGCTTGCATTGCCCTTCATGAAGTCATCCCTAAAAACCGAGCACAGACCACCATTTCGTCTATCGTTTCACAGATCCGCTCCTCTGGGGCTCGGGTGATTCTAGTGTTTGCTGTGGAACAAGATGCAGCCGCATTGTTTGATGAAGCTCTCAGGCATGACACTTATGTTTGGAATCTTCCACAAGTCAATAGTATTTATAATATGATAAAATTAACTTTGTTAGTTTTTTGTTGATGCAGGTTTACTGAGTTTAAATTTATGATATGTTTAACATTGCAAAAATGCAATCTATATCTCTTTAATTTAGAGAGCGGCTGACTGGGATACAGTGGCTGGCCAGTGAGGCCTGGAGCACAGCAGCTGTCCTCTCCACCCCCAAAAAGTATCACCACATCCTCCAGGGTTCTATGGGATTTGCCATTCGGCGAGCACACATCCCCAGACTACAGGACTTTCTGCTTCGCTTGCACCCCTCGAGCCCAGATGCCCTTGCAGATCCCTTCCTGAAACCCTTCTGGGAAGAGGTGTTTCAGTGCAGCCTGGGTGTGCAGGTTGAAGGTCAAGAACATAATAATGAGGGTAAACCTCCATGCTCTGGAGCAGAAGACCTGAGGAGTGTAAAGAATATCTATTCAGATGTGTCACAGCTAAGGATTTCCTACAATGTCTATAAGGCCGTGTATGCCATTGTCCATGCACTCAAGGCTATGAGAAGCTGTGTGAAAGGAAAAGGGCCATTTCATCTGCAGGCCTGCCCAGATACAGACAATATACAGCCATGGCAGGTACCATTCCATATGTTCGGTAATTTAGATAAAAGTTATAGTGATGCTAGAACATAAGTGATAGAATCTGGTAATATTACAAGATGATGATAAGCACTTTCTTCCCTTAGCTACTTCATTACATAAAGCAGGTGAAATACTTGAACTCATTTGGTGATGAAACCAAGTTTGATGAAAATGGTGATCCTGCAGCCATGTATGACCTTGTGAACTGGCAGCTAAGTCCCAAAGGAGAAATGGAGTTTGTCACAACTGGCAAATTTGATGAGATGACCTCAGTAGGAAAGCAAAAACTCCAGATCCAGGAAGATATGATTGTATGGAATGGCAATGAAACCAAAGTATGAATCTCAATAGAATAAATCATGTTTTGTGAAATGCATTTTGTCCAATAATATCTCCACTATGTGACTGTTTTGTGACCAGTGTAGTATGCATTTCCTCTTTTGCTTAGATTCCCTTGTCAGTATGCAGCAGCATTTGTCCCCCAGGTACCCGGAAGGCAATCAGACCTAACTTCCCTATCTGCTGCCATGATTGTGTGGTTTGCACAGCTGGGGAGATTAGCAATCAGACTGGTGAGAAAAAGTTACTCTCCTACATTATGTTTGGTCGTCTGACCCACAGTTGCAGCTGTAAAGCCACAGTATTGCAGCTAAAGCCTTCTTGTCTTTCCATCAGATGCCATAGAGTGTGTGCGCTGCCTGACAGAGTTCTGGTCCAATGATGGAAGGACAGCCTGTATCCCCAAACAGGTGGAGTTCCTCTCCTTTAGCGACACCATGGGCATCACCCTGATGGCTATTTCTCTCCTTGGCTCCTTCTGCACCTGTGTTGTGGTCGTCATATTTTCTTGTCACAGATCCACCCCGATTGTCAGGGCCAACAACTCTGAGCTGAGCTTCCTGCTGCTCTTCTCCTTGACTCTGTGTTTCCTGTGTTCTCTGACCTTCATCGGCCGGCCCTCTGAGTGGTCCTGCATGCTGCGACACACGGCATTTGGCATCACCTTTGTCCTTTGCATGTCTTGTATTCTGGGGAAAACTATAGTGGTGCTAATGGCCTTCAAGGCAACACTTCCAGGCAGTAATGTAATGAAATGGTTTGGGCCTGCACAGCAAAAGGCAATCATTACCCTTTGTACACTGGTCCAGGTAAGGGCAGCTGACCTTTCATTTCCTGTGAATAGTTAGGGGAGCAGTTTTGTTTTTTCAAATGTTGAGGTCTATTTCTTCTTATGCAGGTAATAATCTGTACAGTGTGGCTGGTTGTTGCTCCTCCCACTCCACACCGACTGATCCCACGCGAAAGCGTTATTGTCATTCTCTTGTGCGATGAAGGTTCACCTGTAGCATTCGCTCTCGTCCTGGGCTACATCGGCCTGCTGGCCTGCCTCTGCCTTCTCTTGGCCTTCCTGGCAAGGAAGCTGCCGGATAACTTCAACGAGGCAAGGCTCATCACTTTCAGCATGCTCATTTTTTGTGCGGTGTGGATAGCCTTTGTTCCTGCCTACATTAGTTCTCCAGGGAAGTACTCCACAGCCACAGAGGTGTTTGCTATACTGGCCTCCAGTTATGGACTGCTGGGCTGCATCTTTGCACCAAAGTGCTACATTATCCTACTAAGGCCAGAAAAGAACACATGGAAACACCTGATGTCGAAAGCTGCCACTGACAAATTCTAGAACATCATCTTTATTTCATGCACATATGGACTTCTGTCTCTGGCTTTTCCCAGATTAATACAATAAATATAATAACATTACTTCGAAATGTGTGATTTTGTGGGGAAAAAGTATGACAGTGGTGGTAGAGACAGTGTTTATAGACCTCCTGTCCTTGAATATGAACACTCGCATTTCACCACTAGATGGTAGAAGTGTGCTGTTAATGCTGCCTTCTGTCATTCATCATGGCCCATCATAAAATGCACAACCACACACCATTTTCCTAACCAAGAACTTTCCATGATGTTTTTGTAACTTGCCCTGTACATTTGTTTCACTTCTATTTTCTCACCTATGGTTTAGTTAAAGATCTTTTACTTTATTTTGCTCAGTGGTGTAGAAAAAAGTAGGCAGTACGATCACAGAAACAATACAAAAAGCAGTGCATCATCATTAAGAAGTGATGTTATCCTGTAAACCCCCTATAGTCAGTTTCAAGACCTCAAGATAAAACAGTCAACCATTTACAAAAAAGCATTCTCAAATCAAATGATTTTATTTCTCCAGTTTTATGACACTTCTTTGACATGCTCAGTAGAAATGTGAAGGACAGCTCATTGCTAGCACTGAATGGGATTTGGCAGCAGTGTCCATGCTGATTTGACCCGAGATAGAGTGATGAGGCCCAGGGTCTCTGAGGTATGCTCTGTGGAAATCCCAGCTGTCATTGGTTAATTAAACCCTCATACTCCAGAGGCCTTTACATATAAACATCACGCCTGGCTGTTCCCTGCAATAACAAACTAAAAACGTCAGACATTTTTTGCAGCTCTCCACATCTGCTCTCAGGCTAACATTGATTATCCACCACTGATTGATCTGTTGTTCCTCCCAAGGCAGAGGAATAAATTGGAAGATGGAGAGACATTGGGTCTCCAACGTCCATCAGGGACAGACATGAGGAAAAGGTGTAGGGAGGGGCAGATGGAAAGCAGTGCTTTATTGACACTGTATTACTCGATTTACATTTATTTCCAACCTTCATTCTTCTTAGCCTTTGCATTTTTAACTCTTGTATGTGCTCTCTTCTGCATCATAAATTTCAGTGACTATAAGACAGCGGATTGATTTCTGCTCATAGTGCACAGTCTGTCTTTGTTTCATTTCAAACAGTAATCCTTCAGATCGGAGCACGTTTTGCCTGATTTAATTAAGGAAACCAGAATAGATCACTGCCATTCAGGGGTTAGATCATTTGAATGAGAAAATACTGTGTGATAATTTCTTCAATAAAATGACTGCGCCTTCAAATTACAGGCACACAGACGTAAAATGAAGTGTGCCCGGCTGTGAAAAAATGTATTAAAAATGTGAGTGAGTGTGGAGGAAGTCCAGAATTCATAGAAATCCATTCCTTGAAATACTGAAAAATAGATAACTTGACACATGATAACATAGATTTGCTGACAGCGTAGAGGTAAACACAGCAGGGAAGTTGAAAGATGTAATAACAGCATGACTTCTACAGTACTTAGATGCAGCTTTCTACTCAGTCTTGTCATCACTGAGTTTTTATACTAGGGCAAATGCTGACCAGATGTGTGGACACATGGGGGTTTACCTCATCCAAGACAGAGATTAGAGAAGTAATACTTAACACTGTGTCATGTACATTAAGTAATGATATCCCAGGGTGAAAAGAAGTGTTACTTAAGTTAACACTCAGTATTGAGAAAGTAGTTTGTAGAGTTGTAAAGCAAATATTCTGTTGAGTGTCTTTCAAATAACTCTATTGACAATCCACTTGACTTCTATTTGACAACTACTTGAGACTTTTTTCTTCCCACCTAGTTTTGAAGTGTTTGCACCTAACACCAGAAATCCAGGGGGTAAATTACAATTGCAGCATTTAGTTTCAGTTTGACAAGCACCATTTTTATAAGTTTTCAAGGCAACGTATAAAGATGTCAGATATCTCTTGCATGGATTGCTGATTCATCACAGTCATTAACACTGAAAAAAGATTCATTATGACAATGGGAAAGGTCTTAAAAGTATGACAAGACATGCAAAAGAAAGAGGAAACTTATCAGCAAAAGAGAAACATATGCACAGCTAGACCAATACCAATATTAGATAACATCAAATCCAATATAATATGTCATACCAACAGAGACATTGTTACCAAATATAAATATGTGCTTAAGTGGCTCTTATGCCTAAGTTTACACAACATTCTCCTTGTATTTGAATAGTGTATAGTAGTGGATAAACCATATTCAAGTTTTTCTTGCCTCATGTGATTATTTCTGGTCTTCACATACAGGAGCTGAAACACGAGTCAAAACTGGGACACTTTGCAGACTAAGTGGCCTTGGGTATTTTAAAATGGCCACTAAGGCAACATACAAATAACTGAATATCTATGTGAACCCTTCTAACTACTTCAAAACCTACCATACAGTTGAATCAATATCTCACATTGCCTGCAAAAAAGTTGATTTGGAGCCATTTAGTGCAGATGTAGGGCTATTGCATTTTATAGCGAGGCATAGTATTTCTGCTACCTTCTCTACTTTATATAAATGCACCAGTGACTGCATAGACACAGCAGGGCAGAAAATGGTTTTGAAGGAGTAAGGTGACTTTGCATAATCATTATGTAAGGGTGCAAAATTGAGTGAATGAATCATGTCTTGCACAGATTTATACCTCAACCTAAAATGTCCTTTCATTATGATGCCGTCTCTTTTAACAGAATTTGAGGTTTCAGTAATTTTTCATTCTTTAAACGTACTCTTTCAGATAGCTTTTTCTCCTGTTTTCTTTTACCTATTATGCAGTGAGAGCCAGTATCACAGAGGAGATGGGCACCATAGAAACTGCAGCCAAAACTAATGGTCTCTGCCACAATAGCACCATTCACCAGGGCCCATGTGGCTGTCTACATTATATAGGGCAACAAATGATCTGAAGGTCTTAAAATTCCTCTGAAATTGAAGTAGCCAGAGTGATGATGGCTTCTTTTTGATATAGCATGAGTCACTATGCTAATCTAATTAGGCGCCAGATCCATGTTTGGATGTTCTAAAATGGGAGGACAGATAAGAAATGTGTTGACAGAATGCAATCGCGAGACAGCGTTGCAGAGTTTCACACAAGGAATAATATCTGTGAGAGCAAACAATTATCACAGTGTGCAACACAAACACTCACACAGTCACTGTCTGATGAGTTAATGCCTCTGATGGGCTGTCATGAGATGATAGCATGATGAAATGTTTCTTTCTGTTTATGCAGAAATACAAATGCAGATATTTTGCAACAACATCCAGCTGCAGTGTTTAAAAGCTTAGATTAAATTATGTAGGCTACAGAAAAAGAGACAATATTTAAATATTAATAACAATGAAGATTATTAATTTCAAGAATATTTATTTATTCATTGCTTCTTTCTTTTTGTTGTTGTTGTTGCATGAGTCATAATAGAAACCATACAGTTTTCAAAAATTGATGCCAATTCTGTTTTTATTTTCATTTTTCTTTTATGCCTACATCTCTTGACCCTGAGGCATTGGTACTATCTGGCCATCAGTTGTTTTTTAGTGTTTCTCTCAGGCCTCAGAAGAATAATAAAACACTTTGGGGCAAAGATACAGAACAGAAGGCCATAACTTGAAGCCAGGATGGCAAAAATCTCCACTGCGACAGTGTACTTCCCAGGAGAGCTAATGTAGGCGGGCACAAAGGCCACCCAGACAGTACAGAAGATCAGCATGCTGAAGGTGATCAATTTGGCCTCATTAAAGTTGTCTGGCAGTTTCCTTGCTAGAAAGGCCAAGAGGAGGCTGAGACAGGCCAGCAGGCCAATGTAGCCCAGAACCAATGAGAAGCCCACCACAGAGCCAATCGCACATTCAAGAATGATCTTGGGTCCCCAGTGGTCCATGATGTCTCTTTCTGCAGGCTGAGGAGGAGCCAGGGTCAGCCACAGCACACAGATCAGCACCTAGGAGAATGAGGTTGGGTGGGAAATGAAGAGGGAGATTTGTTTAGAATGCAAAGACAATGAAAACTAAAGCAGACATCGTATTAGGAAATGGCAGTTTGTAACCTGCACTGAATCTCTATTTGTATAACTGACCTTGTCCTCATACGGAGAGGTATGATATGTGAGAAATATATGTATATGTACAGTACAGGCCAAAAGTTTGGACACACCTTCTCATTCAATGCGTTTTCTTTATTTTCATGACTATTTACATTGTAGATTCTCACTGAAGGCATCAAAACTATGAATGAACACATGTGGAGTTATGTACTTAAAGAGACACAAAATGACAATGAAATGAGGCTACAAAGATGCAAAACAAACATGAATAGGCTCAAAATGGTGACCACCAAGAGGGCTGGGGGGCTTTTACATGTCTGTGCTCTGGGGCTCATTGTGTCATAGTTCGTCTATGCATCAGATTTATCTGTGGAAAACAATTATAACACATCTGCTTTCTCTCTCTGTCTGTCTTAGGATCACTGGAGTGTATTAGGTGTCCTGAACGCTTTTGGTCCAACTCAAACCACACAGTGTGCATTCCCCAGCAGGTGGATTTCCTTTCGTACAATGACACCATGGGAATCGTCCTCTCCGTCATCTCAGCCGTCGGGGCAACACTGACAGCTGCCACATTTGCCACCTTCCTTTACTACCGACACACACCTTTGGTAAAGTATTGCACTGTCCCACATGATGCCAAATTGCATTTTAAGAGTATTACATTGTAGTTTCATCATACTGTGAGAATAATGCAGTAATGATATTGCAGCCTCCTGATCCATTAACATCAAAATAAAAAAAGGCCATATCCAATACCATGGTGTAATTTATCCCTGTGTCTCCTTCCTTTAAAATCCCTCTCCTGCTTTAAGGTGCGAGCCAACAACTCAGAGGTGAGCTTCATGCTCCTGCTATCACTCAAGTTGTGCTTCTTATGTTCCCTGGCTTTCATTGGACGACCAGTGGCTTGGTCCTGCATGCTAAGACATACACTGTTTGG